GACATGTTGGCACATTTACATGGTAGGCTGGTGATAATGGTGCATTGGCTGACATGACACACAAATTTTGGAGGCTGGAGGCAATGGAAGACAAGCAAATGTGTTGATGATAATGGCTCACGAGTGCATAGTTGGTAATGACATGCGAGTGCAGTTGTGGCAATGGAATGAATGAGTTGAAGGCAATGACGTGTGGGTGGAGATAGTGACATGTGAGTGCATAGGCGGTAGTGGCATATGAGTGTGTAAGTGGTAGTACATGCGAGCTTGGAGGTGATAGTTGCACGACGACATTAGAGGCTACATCGATTTACGGGCACTGACTTCATAGAGGTAGAGGAAAATAAGGAAATAGAGCATATTAATTTCTTTAGAGTTAGGAGGGAGTAAGGTGACTGGTTGAGGCTGGTAGAGTGAAATAGGTAGAATATTAAGTGTTTGTAGCTTGTATTGCAAGAAATGGTTGGTTATAGAAATCTATTTGCATATCAATTATGTAGCTCTAAAATCTTGCAAGATTTTCAAAAAGCTCTTAATGGATTCCAAGAAGTCTTTAAGGTGTGTTATAAAAGGGCATTATTTATGATTTATTTTTGAAATGTCCGTTTTGGAGGCTTCATCACAATTGTTTCCAACGGGATCATAAAGAAGGAATCAGTTTTCTCACACATCTTTACAATATTAAATGCTAGCAAAGAGAGGGTCTTCAAAGAAGATTGAAAAAGTTAGTGGCTGAAGCCACTATCTCCACCTCAATTCACTCTCAGAAGAATAGGATTTCGAGTAAGCCTCGTGGGGATCTCAATGGGCCTCTGATTATCATGATAAGAAAAGATATTACCTGCACTCCCGGAGACAACATCCATATTATGAAAAGTTGTTTTGCGAATATCAGAGCATCACTCAATGATGATATTGATGATGAAGATATCGATCATATGGTGGTTGAAGTCATGTTATTGTTGATCATATGCTTGGTCAACCTACCTAAATGGCCTATGTCCTATCAAAAAACAGGAATATAGCCTTGACTTCACAAGGCGTCTCAAAATAAGAAAGGGCAGCAAATGTTTGAAAATGAATATTTTGAGCAACAAGAGAGATTCAAGGATGTTGAAGATACTTCTGTAGTTGTAATGACTAATGAGATTACAACAATAGATGCAATCACAACTATAGAGGAAAGATCATGCTATTAACCAGCTTCATGTTCATCTCGATGAAATAAGTAGCATAACGAAAGAGCTATTTGGACAGCTTATAAATGATTACTTTTTTCAAAATAAAAAAAGAGATAAATGAATACAATTTATGATATATTTATATGTGATCATCCATATGTAACATTTTCATGTATTTATTGCACATTTAGGCCAATCATGTTATTTATAAGGCATGATAAATACGAGAGTCAATTGTCTGTCAAACCGAGAGCAAGCAAAGAGGAGCATCGTTGAGAGTGTAATCTTGAGTCGAACGCTTTCATTGGAATCAAAGTTGTCTCCATCGCTTGAAGTCCAAGTTGTCACTGTGAGTCAAAACCATCATCAACACTTGGAATTAAAGAAATTATTGTTGGCATAGCATAGAGTCTAAGTCATTTCTAGTTTGTGAACTATGAAGATTTGAAGCCCTTGATTGTATTAGGACTGTGCGTGTCCTTGCATGATTTAGTTTAGGAAAGCTTCATAAAAAGAAAATAAAATTAATTTAAAAAGAAATTAAATAACATTAATATTATTTTTAAGTAATAAATTAGATATATAAAATATTATGTACCACAAGGGCAATTCACTTTCCTCTATTGCCCATTTATAGCGAAAATAATAATTACTTTGACACTGCATGCCTTGCTATTCCAATAGTGCATGGAGTTTGCCTCACCACGTTTTGGGCAATAGCACGTGCTTTTGTTCCCTATTGACATGTACGCCAATGGCTAAGCAACTTCTAGCATATAAGGTGTGTAAAGGTTGGTTAAGAGGGCTATTTTTGAAGTTCTAAGATGAAAAGTGCTATGTATTCCTCTTGAGAAGAAAGAGTAGCTTTGAGTTCTTCCTAGGAAAAGAGGCATGTGTTTGAAGAAGAACTTTGGGCTTATTTTGTGAAGACAAAGAATAGCACTTACCATAGTTAAACAAATGCTCTCATAATTCCACCTTCACTTTTTGCTACCTCTTTCATTATGGTCTTTGTTGCATGAGAGATCCATGCTATCTCCTTAATGAGAGTTATTTTGTGTGTGAGAGATCGATTCAAGCTTGACATGAGAGGCCACAACCCTAGCATAAAAGAAAATTCTATTAATAGAAAATAGAGAAATTAAGTAATATAAATGTAAAATAATAAAATTAAATATAATTTATTTATATAAACCCTAAAATAAAGAAATTAAATTTCACACACTATTAAAGCAACGGGCTATGTACTATAGTGCATCTAACACATGTTATTTTTGGCTATGCATACATTGCTACGTAAATAGCATAAATGGTGCACCTCTCCATGGCTCCATGCTATGGGCTATAGCACATGCTATTTTATGTATTGATATTTATGCCCTCATATTAGGAGAATTACTGCTTGATGTTCGACGTCCGCCAAACATCTACTAGCATCTAATATTTAATGATTGATGTCCGTCAACCACTGAAGTTTGACGTGTCTTCTTGGTATTCTAGTCTCCCTTTTTATCGAAAGAACGACCAAGCCAAATGCCCCCTATCACCTGGCTTCTAACATTCCTTGCCATTAATGACCAATGTCCAACTTTCGTTACCCACTTACAATGTCCCCATGCTATCAATATCTAATTTTCATTTCCACGTTTGATTGGTATCTCATTCTATCAGGTGGATGATCAAGTCTAATACATGTTATCATCAATGCCTAACATTCCTTGCTACCATAGTGTGATGTTTTCCAATGACCAACATTTGACTTCTATCATCCTCCAATGTTTTACACCATCTCTTGGATTGCCCAGTCTCATCTCTTATCTGGAGAACAATAAATTTGACCACCATTGTCGCTCGACATTTGATATTCTCGTCAATTGTCACTTGAGACTTGTAACGGTCAACTTATGTCGTCCTTCAACCACGGATGCTCGATGCTTGTCTTCTTGGTAGTCCAAAAGCTCTTTATCTAGAGAATTACCAAGTCAGTCATTCACTATAGGTCGAATTTTGATGTTCTCTATTGACCATAATCTAATGCTGCTAATAACCGATGTCTAACATCCCTTGGACACAAACATTTCACCTTTGAGTTATTAGTCGCTAGAACTCTTTTTATATTAGTAGAATGTTAAAAGTTGATCACTTAATGTCTTTAGCCTTACTAAGATTATTCATCAACTGTCATCTGATGACACTCATCGCTCGATAATAATTTTGACACCATAAGACTACTACAATGACCAAAAAGGATATCTCTACGGTTAAGTCTGTTACATTGTATTAACTTTTGCTCTAATTACTGGGAAGGTAACCCTTTGTAAATCATAACTCTCACTTTTGAAATTATTTTAACTGGGCCATGCCCTCTAAATTTTCCTCTTCTCAGGTTTTTTGTATAAAAAAATCTCATCTCTGGTTTGCTGCCTTCAACTTATCCATATGTATGTGGGAGCTTTATACAACCTTAAAATATTAATTTATCTTTATCACCATGAATTTTTAAGCTCACAACAATGTTATTTGTAGATGTTGGAGTGAAAGATTGATCAAATGAGGTACAAGAAGAAAGTTATTAGAGGGATTTGCAGTATCTCATATAATATGTTGCTCATTCTTCATAACTATAGATGTTAGTGTAGTTGGGTGATTAGGTCATCAAAATCATCTAGTTTCAAGTATCACTTCAATTTTTAAAAATAAGAATGATAAGCTGAATGTGTTGCCAAACTAAGAAAGATAAATGGAGGAATGATTATATTACATGGATGGTGGGAGATTTGGAGTAGCATTTATTGAAAACAAGATAAAAATTAAGTTGGTATGTTGGACATATTCAATGAAGGATAGAAAATATATCCTTTAGAGTGGTAGATAAATTTTGTATCAAAGGATTTGGATGGAAAAGGTATAGATCTAAAATAAAATGGAAAAAAATGTTAAAAAAGATTTTCAAAACATAGTTAAACACCTCAGTTATCACTCTATTGAAACAAATAAAAATCGAGGATTCATAAAGCTGATGCAAAATTGTTGAGATGAAGCTAATGATGATGATGATCACATTATATTAACACAACTAGAACATTACGCATGACTCAATAAGTCCTAGAATGAAATTGAAAATCTCTTTTGGCTATAAAAGTGCATGTTCTGGCCTGCATTTACATTGAATCGTAAATTCGTTCATTTCTGTATGCAGATGTCTATTCATAAGCACTTAGAATATCTTTTATGATTCTGTTCTTAAAAGACAAGATGAGTGGCATAGATAAACAGTTTTCTGAGCGAATCCTTTCAATATGGTAAAGAAATTTCCTAAATTTGGCAGAAGTTGCAGGGAAGTAGTGGAAATGGGTGGATTAGCATCAATCATGTAGATAGTTTGATACATGAAGTTTTTATTGGTCTCATCCTCTCTCTTTGTGCTGTACTGACCTTCTAGTTGGATTTCTATTTTTGCCTCTCGTAATTCATACATGTGAGATAAATTGTACGTCTTGCTTTACATTCCTTTGGAGACAAATCCCTAATGTCCTCATATTTGAGATTTCCAGATAGTTATCACCAATAGTTATAAGTTAAACTTAGATTGATGTTAGATCTTGTTTAGTTTGGAGTATTATGCGCATTCTACGTAAATCTTGCTTATACTTCTGGTGGACTTATGTAAATTCTTTTAAGTAGGGCAATTTACGCATATCTATCTCCACGTTGAAGTGCTCGATTTGTAGTTATCCAGTGTTTAATTTGAACTATCTATTTTTGCAGCTTTTCTATTTCAAACTCGACAATATCTATATTGTTCTTTGTATTTTGCAGATTTAGGATTCACACTGGTGCTGGTTTAATTATCCCTGAAATACAAAATGATGGGAAGGTATTTCTCAAACTCACCTGTAAATGATCATTCATTATTATTTGATGTCTAAGATATTAGTGCTATTTCTTGATTCTATTGGTTCATTCCTTTTTCCTCGAGATACCTAATAGTTTTTAATTTTTCAAATTTCTAAAACAAGCACAAATATGACAAGAAGCAAAACATAAAAAGTTTTGAACACGACGTTTAAATGCTCGCTTTAGTATGCTTAAGCAAAAGGGAAATACCCTGACATCTTCACATTGTCTTAATTGTGTTGTTTTGTTTATTTTTTGCGCTGAATAAATGCAACACAGCCCTTGCTGCTTTACCAGATAAATGTGGCACAGCTGTACTTCTTTTCATTGTGTGTGTGTGTGTTTTTTTTTTTCCTATGTTTGGTTTTGTTTCTGCTGCAAATCTTACATCCATGTTATAAAGGCCTCAGTTTCCTTCATTGTGTCAATGCCAAAAATCACTTGATTAGTGTAATATCCAATATTCATAAAGTAAAAATACAAAATTTCCTTAATTAAATTTTACCCGAAATATCAACTCAATTTTTTTATGACTGTTTTTACAAGAAAGGGGAAGGATAAGATTGAAGCCGAGTAGAAGCAGTTCAATTTAAAATTTATGTTTTGTTGTATGGTTGTGTGAGATGAGTCATGAGTAAGCGGTATGTGAATTGTTTGTTATGAAAATATTTTTGGATTGTCAGTTGCTTTGTAATTATATACATATGATATAATTAGAATATTTTAATTGCTTTTATTTTATAGATGAATGTGGTGAATTGCAATATGAATATTTTTAGGAATAGTTATGCATTATGAAGGTTAACGAATTGTATGTTTTCCTCTGTTGCATCCTGCGTCGATTGGGAGTCGGCGTGTGGTGTGACATATAATGGTATTTTAGCGAGGTTTAAAATTTCTAGGATTTATCCACATAAGCTAAATTGGATATAGTATATTTAAGGAAAAGATAATTGAATATGATATGATTATTACAAAGCATAGGTGTGCTTAGTGTTCTTAACTTAGTGGTGAGTCTAACACTGGACCCTAGCATTTAGCATATAAAATTAAAAATGTTAATATGTGCTTATGGTTGTATAAATGCATATTTTGTAGTACAATAAATAGCGGATAAAATGGCTGAAAGAGTACTTGAGGGGATAAATTGCCAGTCAGCTCAACATGGCAGAACACATGAATGTCCTGAAAATATTATGCCAGCTGAGTGCAGTACACTCAGAGCAGATATTGTGTTCGCGGTGCCTGATCCTTCAAGTATGATGTTAGGGACTATGATGCAAATGCAAATGCTGAGAATGATGATATAAACGATGGAAAAGGTGCAGTCTTTTGTAGAACCTGTGGTTATACCAATCACGCCTATAGTTCCAAGTAGCAATGTAGGTGCAGATGCAATTACCCATATTAGCGTAGATTTAGAAAAGCATTTAAAACTCTTTCAGAGTTTAAAATCACCTTTATTAAAAGGAGTAGATGTCAGAGGTGCAGAGAGTGAGTAATCAGAATTGAAAAGATCTTGAATGGGATAAAATTTCATATTGAAAGACGAGTATCTGTAGCTATTTTTGTGTTGGAAGGTGAGACAAAACGATGGTGTAGAGTGAAACACTTGAAAAAATTGATAGTAGACTTGAGGAGCTAATTAATTGGGAAAAATTTGAACAAGTTTTTAGAAATTGATATGTCCCACCATTAAGACAGCAATGCAGGGGAGTTTTATAAATCTAACTCAAGGATTCAAAATTGTTATTCAATATGAGGCAGAGTTTACATCCTTAGCAAGATATACTCCACAACTTATTAGTACTCATACTGAGAAATGTAATAGGTTTTTGAAAGGCCTCAGAGATCCATTGAGACAACCTCTAATTCCTCTGTGCATTAAAGATTTTGTTGAACTAGTTGAAAGCACTAGACTTCTAGAGCAAGATATGAAAATGGTAAGACAAAAATGGGGGAGAGTAACTTGATATTGAGCTACAAGAGTAATTTGACATGTATGAAGGAGCCTAAAAAGATATTAGAGTTTGATGTTTGTGAATAGAGAAGTAGAACAATTTCTTACGTGAAAGTGAAATGGAAGCAAATACCAGTTAAACGTGCTACATTGAAAAAAGAGTCAAATATGAGACAACAGTTCCCTCACTTGTTTAAAAAGGTATGAATAAGGCGAATTCCTAGGATGAAATTCTGGAGGGAAGAATTATAATGCCTAATGTTCATAAGGTAAAAATACAAATTTTCCTTAATTAAATTATACCTTGAAATATCAACTTTAATGAAAATCATTAGATTGTTATTCTGGATGTTTTTACAGGAAAGGGGAAATATAAGATTTTAGTCGAGTAGAATCAGGTCAATTTAAAACTAATGTTATGTTGTATAGCATTGTGAGATGAATCCTGAGTAGAGATATGTGAGTTGCTTGCTATTGAAATATTTTTGAGTTGTTAGTTGCACTATAATTATATACATATGATATAAATGAAATATTTTGAATGCATCCGTTTTATAGATGAATGTGGTGAAATGTGACATGAATATTTTTTTGGATAGTTATGAGTTATAAAAGGTTGAGGAATCATATGTTTTCCTCTATTGCATCTTGCGTTGATTGGTAGGGAGTTGGCGTGGGTTGTAAGAATGAGATAGTTGTTATCCACCCTTTTAGCATAATTTACCAATTTGTAAAGATATTATTTGAAAAGCTTAGGCAACTGGCATTAACAGAGTTATATATTACATACTTTGAAAACAAATATTAAGTAGGCTAACATTATAAAAACTAGAATTAATAATCAGTTTGAACTATACTGATGGATGAATTTTAATTGAATTGATTTTTAGGAATATGGAAGAGAGGTATAGCAATTCTGTACAGATGCATAAAGCAATTGCAAATATGTTTAATACCATTGAACCTTAGTATTCCATGATAGTATATCATAACCAATCACATGATAGATACTACAAATTAAGAAGATGGGCAAGAAAAAATTGCATCAAAATATTTTAAAAATATCAAGACTATTAGAAGATGCAGAAGAACGAGTATATTGGTGATTCCATGTAATGGAAAATGAAGATCAGGATAGATAGCACAATCTATAAGAAAGTAAATTAAATAAGAAAGATGAAGTTCAAAATCCGTTTTCTAATATTGTAATGTATTTTATAAACTATAGTCGAACAGCCAAAACACATAATACATATAGCCAATTGAGGAACAACAAAAACGTATTCAACACTAGATTAAGGAGTTGTATATTGCATACTTTGAAAACAATTATTGAGGACGCCAGCATATAAGAATTAGAATTTAGAATCAGTTTGAAATAATACTTGATGGATAAATATTGATATTATGATTTTTTTAGAAATAAGGAAGAGAGACGTAAGCATTTTTACAGGAGCATAAAATAAATGTAAATATGATTAATACATTGTATTACATGATAGCATAACCTTAGCGATCACATAAAACAGAATACAAATTAAGAAAGTAGACAAGAAAATTTGCATCAAAATGTTAAAAATAATATCAAAACTGGAAGATGATGCAGAAGAGCAAGGACAATGATGATTCCATGTAATGAAAAATGAAGATCAGGATATATTGTACAATACTACAATCTATTAGAAATAAAATAAAATAATAAAGATGAAGTTTAGAACAAATGCTTTAATTTTTCCAACATTAGAATGACTTTTAATAGGACACAATGGAGGAAAAGGATTCATGTCGCCGACCCCACGTAGTGGGATAAAGGCTTGATGTTGTTGTTGTTCTAGTATTAGAATGCATTTAATAAACTATAATATAAATTATATAATAGCATAATTACATAATACAGATTACAGATAAGTAGATAACCATTTAAAGAAATGGGTAGGAAAACTGTAGCAAATGTTTGAAAATACGAGAAAAGAAGATTCAGAAAAATATAATGGTAATTCGATACAGCAGCAACAAGCCATTATCCCACCATGTCTGTTACATGATTTTTTTTCTCCATTACGTCCTATTAAGAGTCAAATTTCTCATTTAAATCTAATAAAAAAAAGATCATTTTTAATTCTTTCTTACCATTTTTTTTCCGTGCAATGAAAACAAAAAGAAAAGATTTTTACCATTTTAAAGAAATGAATAAAACAAGAAAGAAGAGGTTTAAAACAAATCCATACTTCATTTTTCCAATCATTGTAATGTATGCTATGAATCACACGTGTGATAAAGAGATATATAAACAAATGATTTTAGTAAATTGCCTGATAAAAATGTGCGTACTGGAAGCTTTGATTCTTAACTAAAGGTGCTATACGGTTCTTATCCTTATTGTATGAATAGCCTGGGAAGGTGCAATGCGTTTCAGCGATGTCTCACATTACCCTAGTACGTTACGCATATGCTTTCACTTCATTAAATATGCTTAAAACAATTTTCTTCATTTTTCGTCTTGGCATGAGGTCACTGGAAAAGCAACCTGAGATTCAGAAAGTATATACTATCAATGCAAGAAATAACTTCATACAAACTATGTTTTATGCGCAAGCAATGGCTTCATGCAAGATCAAAAGCTTTGCCAATTCTTGTGTAGGTTAAAGTAGATATGGGTCAACCTATATTATTAGCACCTGATGTTCCTACCAAGCTTCCAGCAAACCATAAAGGGGCTGTTGTCAGGGCTGAAATTCTTGTTGATGGCATAGGATGGAATGTGACATGCGTCAGCATGGGGAATCCTCATTGTGTCACTTTCAGCACAAAACAGGGTGAGGTAATGTTATTGGAAGAGATTATTGCTACCCTTTTTGTTATCTCTCTGTTATTTGAATTAATAGCTTGTCTATTTTTATGCGTTCTGGTTCAAAATGTTCTAATAAGTGTGTATAATGCTCCATTTTTTTTCCTCGTAAATGATGAATTTGTCATTTTTGGTGTTGTCAGTGCGAAAAGCACAATCCTAAGAGAAAGTATTTTCCTACTTTGAAGCTCAAGTGCAAAGGACGAGCACATCTAACTATTCATGACATTTCTAAACATTAAAACTAAGAGAAAAATTACGAGGCATTATAATATTTTGATAGTTCTCATAGCATAATTAAATTATCAAAATACTGAAGAGATACTATTAGATCGGTCTAGCCGGCCCAAGTGCTTGGCCGGCCCATGGTTTACTCTAGGCGGACCAAGAAGTCGCCTGCCCCCCTTGAGGGGCCCATTATTTGAATTCAAAACTTAAAAGGAGGGGGTGGTTTAGGGGGGCATTAAGTTTGGGCGGGGCTGTTTAGTAATTATCATTATAATTGTATTTTTTTGCCAAATTTTTTAAAATTTCATTAAGACAAAAAAAGGAATTACAAGAGAGTACAATCTGGCAAAACCAAAAAACACCTATGCTTCCCCAACACCAAAAAACAAAAGGTGGGAAAACAACCGGACAAAGAAAACCAACAAGATACAACAATAAGGGAAAAAGCAAAGAAAATAAACCCCACAATTGGCAATGTGAGGTCCCCCATGGAGAGAGAAGACCTCAACCATGATCAATTGAGGTAACCAAAGACTCCTTAGTTGCTTTTCTCCTCTGCCTTGGGGCACTAGTAATAGGCCCCAACTGCAATAATTCTTTCTGTAAGGGACCACGAGATAAACTAGGTTTTTGCTCTGAGAGATTCAGGATTTTGTTGGAGATATCCCTCTGCTAAGAATTCTGAGCAGTGAAGACAATAAAAGCTTTGGGATGGACACACCGAACTGTGGAATGGGGCACCTCATATCCTGCCCATGACCTCTAGTTGGGCTTTCCTTTTGGGCTTTCTCCTTTTAGTGACAACGCTCCAATTTTCGAATTGATCCACATCATAAGATGGCTGCTGAGTAGACATAGGAGTGACATTATTTGACACTTCCATAATAGTAGATGGAAGGGTGCTGTCAATGTGGCTATCAGACTGCAGTTTATCCTTGCGAGGGCAAGATTCCACTTTATGTCCAATCAAACCACAATGGAAATATAAATGTGAAAGACTCTCATACTCCACTCTTTGAAAAAATTTGCCATTGAGACCTTGGCGTATGTTTTGTCCGAACAACCGAGGCTTACGCCTTATTTCGCCCAATTAACGCCTCAACTCGAGGCGCGCCTCAAGGCTATCGCCTCAAACGCCTTTTAAATGGTTGAGTTTGTGTCAAGACACATACTCTAGCATAAGATATATGATCCCAAGAGGATGACTGCTCATCCATCCAAAGAGGTTCACCAATCATAGCAGCCATATGTGCAATATTGGAAGGATCCCAATACATTAGAGGAAGCCGTGGAAATCGGACCCAAATTGGCCAGGCGAATCCCTTCATATTATCAAGAGAGAAGGAACATGACCACCTATTGAGGCCAATAATGCTACTAGCCACAATCTAAGGACCGCCCCTGAGGATGATATCATGAGCGTCAAGGCTTTGAAAAATGCAAATAAAGCAATTTAGAGCAATGGTGATCAATTGGAACTCCCCAACATGTGACCATCTCCTTGAAAGTTCACCATGAAGCCAAGCAAAGGAAATCTGCTTGCCAAGAAGTCTCCCAACTAGAGCACATTTTAATTTAGAATTATTTTCTTGAACTTTGTCAATGTTAAGGCTCATGCAAATGCCATCCTCCTCAAGCACCTCCTCTTTGAGAATCTTGTCTAAAGGCGTATAAGAAGGCTTCCTCCAACCAGAATGGCCCAGGTTTCGATCACCAAACACACGAGACTGCTTTGGGGAGTGTTGTTTGGAAGATAGAGGCTGAAATTCTGCACCAACAGCCCCCAAGCTAAGTGGAATTTTCTTAAAAATATTTTCACAAACATCTGATGGGCATCCTGAAGCCATGGGCTCTTAAGATGAGGCAATAGGATTTTCTACACACCTGCAGGAAGAAAAACCAGCCAAACTATCTTCCAAAACATCCACAACAACATTCAACTCCTTACCAAGAGATACATGAAGATGGTCCGATTCAGGACTACTGACTTGCAGAAGGCAGTCAAACTTTAGAATGCACGTGGATGATTAACGGGCTTGACGAGGGGATGAAGGAAACTGTTCCAGATCGTAATCCATTGGAGCAGCAACCAACGACACGATGTCCCCAATGAAATCAGACCCAATAGAGCAGGCCAGGTCGTGATCTCCAAGCAGCTGCTCGTGAACTTCTGAAGAAACTGATGCAGCCGCTCATCCTTCATGACCTGATAACAGACATCTGAATCCTTTCCTTCCAAAACTTTCCAAAAGTAGCCATACTTTGAAGCCTTCTTACCACCACTACCCCCGCCGGAGTGTGGGGAAGACCGACGACAACTTCTCCTCACCATGAAAACGGAGAACTAAGTAGCGGCACCATGGTGAAGACTAAGGCTCCCATTCACAATGACATTGCTGATTTTGAGTTTTCTCTTAGGTTTGTTTGGGCTCTAGCTGCCGTCTAGGGATTGAGAGAGCCGGATTTTCCTCTTGAATTGAAGATCCATTGTATCTTGTTTGTTTTATTGCACTTTTCATCAATTATCAAGTTTCCCTAGTGTTTTTCCATGGGATTTATCTTAAATTCTGCTTGAACCTTATTGAAATTTCAAATTTCAGCCAATATCTCTTTGATTCCTGCACTTTTTTCCTAACAAATTTGTATCAGAGCTTTTTCTTGGGTGGAAAAACAAGTTATCTTATCTGTTTTTGCGATTTGAGCCTAAATCTAATTAATGACAGCGAAGAAAATGGAGGCATTGGAAGGCGAGATTGAACAACTCAAGGACGGAGTAGAGGAAAAATATTTCAGAGTGGAGGGAAGACTTTCAACCATGAAGAACTGCTTTGGAAACTTTAAAGATATGATGAAAAATATGCTTTAGATACATTCGAAAGCATCACTAGAGATTCCTAGGGTGAAATCAAGAGGAAAGGAGCTTAAGGAGGATATTGATGAAGTGGAGAGTGTTTTCTATCAAAGACCGCCAGGTGGGGCTCCGTTGGTGGGTGGATCGGGGTACTCCGAAGGTAGTATAGTAAGGAGGGAGGTCGAACTTTTTGGGAGAGTATCCGGGCATGGGGAGAGGTGGAATGAAGAAGTGCATGGTTGGAGGGAGCCATGGGGTCCAACTCAACCAAGGAAGGAAAGGAATCACATCACCACTACATGGGAGGAACCAACGGGGGAAGAAACCATTGGGGTATGGATGCGGGATCGAGCAAGCTAAAGATGTCAGTTTTTGAAGGGGAGGATGCTCAAGGTTGGGTGTAACAGGTGGATGATACTTTGCTATTAATGGGCTACTGAAGGGGAAAAGCTCATGGCGGAGGGTCTATGTTTGGAAGGGAAAGCTCTAGCCTGGTTCTAGGGGTGTCAAAATAGGTTTTCGGGTTAGGTTTGGGTCAAACTCAAAATTGACCCGGGTCCAAACGTGTTGACTCGAAATCGTTCCGGTTTTGTAAACAGGTCAAAAATTCATACCAAGACCTGACCCGCATTGGTTACCAAGTTGACCTGACCCGCGAACCAGGAACACCTCGTTTCGGACATGGCTCGTTGATGTGAGGGTATGCTATGGAATTCTCGGAAAGAATGTTAAACTCGGTTTTCCAGTGATCAGAGTCTAGTCCAGTGGGGCCAACAACGTTGGTCCAAGTGGCGAGGATGTTAACTCTTCAGAGCGATAAGGCTTGGCTTGAGGACCTCTAGCGTCAAATCGTTAGGTACTTAGGTTCGCGACCGGAGAAGGGAGCGTCGAAGGGGAGGGCTTCACTCTGATAATGGTTCCACGGAAAGCGAGCATTGCAGTAGAGTTAGGGTTCACGATAATGTAGGATTTCACGGAGTCACCTTCGTCTGAGCCGATGGCAAAAGCGGGCAGAACGTGGGCCTCGCTGTAAAATCCTTTGCCATTGGAGATGTCATTCGAGAATCACAAGGATCATTCTGATGTCGCCAACATTTTTCAATACAAGGCCCTTCGCAACTCGCGGGCTGCTTCCACGATCGCAGACGACAATTTCCCCTTCACAAGCTTTGAATCGAGGTGAGCCTTGCTGTGGACGTGGTAAGCTCGTTTTTCGGTTCAACCTAGGTTTATTTCGGGTTTTCGGGTCAACCCGAACGTGACCCGGTCTTATAAACGGGTCGAAAAATGAAACCCGAACCCGACCTGTCTTGCAAAGGGGTTGATCTAAACACAGAATTTTTCGGGTTGGGTCCTGGTCGGGTTTCCGGTTGGGTCAAACATTGACACCCATATATGGTTCCAATGGAGGGAGGCTAAGTATCCGATCTACTCATGGTAAGAATGTAAGGAGTGCTTGTTGGAACATTTCCGAGCCATTTGGGAAGGAGACCTTAACGAGCAGTTTATGCCTTAACTTAGGAGGGGACAATTATGGAGTACCAGGAGAAGTTTAAGCTGTTGTCGGGGAGACTAAGGGGAATCTTTGAGGAAGGATTGGAGGAGAATTTCATGAAGGGGCTTAGGGAGGACATACGGGCAGAGATCAGAGTATTGAGGCCTAGAGGGCTGAGAGAGATGATGAAGCTTGCTCAGAGGGTGGAGGAAAAATATAGGAGGGAAAATGCCAGCAGAAGCAACATCATGGGAGGGGCCTACTAGAGTATCTCTACTACTCTAACACCCAGAACCCAAACAATATCCTTTCAAAGAGAAGCTCCTAGTGAGAAGAGCGGTGGAGTTCGTTCAGGGGGCAATTTCAAGCGACTCACAAAAGTAGAGGTGCATGATAAATGAGCAACGGGGTTATATTTTAGATGTGATGAGAAGTACATGTCGGGGGCATAGGTGTAAGGAACGAACTCTTCAGGTTCTCACTATCTGCGATGACGAGGAAGCTAAGAAGGGAGGTGGGAGTAAGGCATCAGTGGAGGAGGAAGAGTTGCATTTAAGTATGGCAGAGGTCTCATTGAACTCAGTGGTGAGATTCACTTCAATTCTCATTATGAATGTAAGAAGAGAAATAAGGAGGTTGTGGTGTTGATAGATAGTGGGGCTACCCACAATTTCATCTCCAATCAGGTTGTAGACCAATTGAGGATGAAACTGGTGGACATAGGGTACTATGGGGTGATGTTGGGGACTGAGAAGATGGAGACAGGTAGATGGGTATGTAGAGGAGTGGCCCTGACTATATAAGGGATCCAGGTGAGGGATAATTTTCTTTCATTGGAGTTAGGGAGCACTGATGTCATCCTAGCATGAGATGGCTGCAGAACTTTGGGGATACCAAAGTGAATTGGGGGATGTTGACAATGGAGCTGATGGTGGAAGGGAGAAGAATGATGATTAATGGAGATGCAGGACTCTCCAAAGCCATGATACCTCTAAAAACCATGGTAAGGTCTATACAGGAGGTGGGAGGATGATTTTTGGTAGAGCTACAAAGTTTGGAGGGAATTAGAGAGGAGGAAAGGGGGACATCACTCTTTTAGTACAACTAGTTATACAACAATTCAGTGAAATTTTTTAGTCACCTTAGGGATTGCCACCACAGAGGGGACATGAGCACATCATTATGCTGAGGGAGAGGATATCACCGATTAGTGTCAGGCCTTACCGCTGCACCTAGATCCAAAAGGATGAGATTGAGAAGCTGATCCCGGAGATGTTGGAGGTAGGGATCATTAGGCTGTGCGTGAGCCCCTTTTCTAGCAATTTTCTATTGGTCAAGAAGAAGGACGGAAGTTAGAGATTTTGTGTGGACTATTGGGCCCTGAATAAGGAGATTGTGCCAGGCAAGTTTCCTATTCCAGTAATAGACGACTTGTTAGATGAGCTTTGTGGAGTGGCAATATTCATAAAGATGGACTTGAAGTTCGGGTACCATCAGAATATCAGATCCAGATGAGATAAGAGGATGTTCCGAAGACAGCTTTTATGACACACGAGGGATACTATGAGTTCTTGGTGATGTTGTTTGGCCTCACCAACGCCCTTGCTACCTTTCAATCCCTCATGAAAAGGGTGTTCTGACCTTACCTCAGGAAGTTTGTTTTGGTTTTCATTGATGACATTCTGGTGTACAAGAAGTCCACTGAGGAGCATGTAAAGGCGGTCTTAAAAGTGTTGCAGGAGCATCCGTTGATGACCAATATGAAGAAAGGTTGTTTTGCACAGGCTAGTGTGAAGTACTTGGAGTACGTGGTATCCCAAGAAGGGGTAGCAGCTGATTAGGCCAAGATTGAGGCAATGCTGAAATGACCTCTACCTAGGAATCTGAGGGAGTTGAGGAGCTTTCTAGGATTGACGGGATACTACAAGAGATTCGTGAGGGGATACAACATCATAGCTTGGCCTCTGATAGAGCAGCTGAAGGACAACTTCTTGTGGGGAGAGGCAGCTACTCAGGCCTTTGAGAGATTGAAGACAACCATGATCAAGGTCTAGTCCTGGGCCTAACCAATTTTAGCTAGATGTTCGTAGTAGAGTTTGATATGTCAGGATATGGATTGGAAGCTGTGCTCATGCAAAATTATAGACCCATAGCCTACTTCAACCAGGTGTTGACAACCAGAGATCGGTTGAAGTCAGTTTATGAGAGGGAATTGATGGCCATTGTATTAGCTATTCCGAAATGGCGGCCTTGCTTGTTGGGTCGACATGTCATCATTAGGATAGACCAACAGAGTTTGAAGTACTTGATGGAGCAGAGGATTGTCTTGGTAACTATATTTTGTTCATATAGAATTGAAGCATGTGAGCCAAGGACCAATGAGTATGCTAGTGTTATTAAAAACTCGCCTTAGGAGCTAAGCTATTTGATGCACCATCCTTGCACATTGCTTGCTAGTGAAGTGCCAGCTCACAACAAAGCTCGCATGTCACATAATTTTGTTGCATTGCATTGTGGCATTATGCTATTGGCTCTAGCTCATAGGAAAATTCTGGTTTAGATTTCATGTTTTGATTCAACTTGTCAGACCACCACTTTGCTGCCGAACAACATGAGGCCTCAGGGATGCTTGTAACTTCCAAGATTGACTTTTCATTTTTCTTTCTTTACTTTGACTCTGTAGAGGGCCAGGGGAATTAGAGTTGGTGGCGTTTGTTATCTTAAAATATTATTTGGTCATCCGGTTCCAAGATGCAGAAGAGAGCATGTCAAAATTCTTATTTCCACTTAAAAATCTAGATTTATTTGTCCTGATTAATGGTAATCACTCTGAATCTAGATTTATTTCCATCTAGTCCACGTTATACATACTGACTGGATTGAAGATGTAAAGCATGCTCTTATTCACATATTGGAAATGAAAATTAACACATTGATAGCACGCATCCTAATATTATATAGAATATCTTGTAGTGATGAATTAGGAGAGGACTTCAATTTTTAATTCCTAAATTTTTAATACCGGACTTGAACAGCCTTTGCAGGTTGAAGACATTAAGTTGGAAGAGGTTGGCCCAAAGTTTGAGCACCATGAAATGTTTCCTTCTCGTACTAACACAGGTCAGTATATTGCTTTTTTGGATCTAAATATTTTTTTAATCTCTATAGTTCACATATCAGTTGTCTTAACTATTATCATTATCATGGTTTAGTAATAATTTTAGTCACTTTGCCACTGCTGTTTTACTTCCCATTTGTTTCAATTGTCTCCTTTCTGCTAATTTTTTTATGCACACTTTCAAGATCTTGTTTAACCTACTAAGCCTAGACTAAGGCCCAGTCTTTTATCATTTTATATTTCCATTCTTTTGATTCTAGTTTCTAGGCTATGACCTAAACATAGAGAAAAACTGTTATCTTATTCCATGCTTGACTACAATCATCTCATTATGATCCGAATCAATCTTATTGTCTTTAGGAGGGGATAAATATTATCTAAAAATCTCCAAGTTTTGGAAATGCCCCTGGAAGTCTCTAAAATCTCATTATTTAATGTACCATAGATTAGAGAGTTAGTTATCTGATCATCTTGAACTTCTTTATTCAAGATGGCGTCAAACTCAAATAGAGCATAGTTCACTTGTATATCAGTGATATGAACTTTTGTGTTGTTGGGGAGATATAACAAGTCGTTATTATAGTCCACAGGACCATCATTGGAGATTATTTCATTGATCTTATTGATGGCCATTTCAGTAACAACTATGGTATGGCCGTATGGGTTTCTTGATTTTGTCCCCTGATTTTACTCACATTAGGATGAAAGCTAAAACATTCATAGGGAGAATGTCCATGTAGTCCCTAATCATTGAAAAATGCAAGTAGGTTCTCAAACTCTATTCTTTTAAAGATAACTATATTTTTTGATCCCAACCAGATTTTCCAACCAAGTTTATCAAAAAATATAATTTCAATTAACACTTTCAAAAAAAGGTCTTGATAGGCTGACAGTAGCAAAATCAATTTTAAGAGGATGATCGTAAATAGAAGCCAAAGAGTAAGCTAGTTAGCATTCATGAAATGAACACGTATATTAGGGAATGAGATCCAATTAGGAATGACTAGAGATTCCCAAGTAATATCAAGAAAGGGGGTCTTTTTCAATGGAATTATTAAAAGACCTTGATGCAAAAGGATCATCTAGAAAAAGTCTTAGAGTAATTATTTCCATGAAGTCTAATAGTATTTTTTTTTGTTTACAAGTCCTACTTCAGACAAACCTATCAAACTTAAATTATTATAAAAAATCCTCCATTAACGGTCAACATAAGAAAATTTTCCAACTAATGTATATTTTGAGTTGGAAAGGCATTGCTTTAATTTCATCATCAGGATAAAAAGTCACCATTTAACCTTTTGTTTAAGCAATGTTGTTTGACTTGTACTTGCATTGATACAGAGTACTTTTTCGCCAATGTTTCATGAAATGAAATTCGAGGTTTGGGGGAGTCCTCGAGCTTCTTGCGATGGAGCTTACCGAGGCAGCAAAATCAAGTCAATTGGGCTATTATCCATGTGGATTTCTGCATAGTGTGTTGGCGGAGACCAGGAAGAATATGCCATCAAGGACAGTCACCAATTCATGGTCAAGTGTTATTTTATTCATCATAGAATTGAATTTCGATTGGACCATGTAACACTGGGTTGCATTGAGTGGTGCAACTTGTACTTAAAAAGCTGTTTTATCTAGCTAACCGCTAGATAGATATTGCTTTCCTGAGCTGCAGAGCTAAAGTCTGCTAGGCTGGATTCATATATTCTACACAATTACTGGTTTTGTGATTTGTTACATGCTATTTCAATGGATGAGTAAAGTTCGATAGTTGCCATTTCAGTTTTGTCGTTTGAGGAAGCTGTAGTGAGGCCTTGTACGTGATACTATAGGAGAATTTGCTTTTAATAAAGCTAGTAGTGGCATGTGATGTTATGAAGGGAAAGTTTAATGCCCTTTAGTCATTTCACAACGTTACATTTGTTCAATATCATGTAAGCATTTAAATGATGCCTTTAACGATCATGCCAATAGCATTCATGATTGGCTTCCATTATTACGAGGACTATGGTAGGTAGTTTTGTAACATTGGACTGATCTAAAATGTTTATATCTCGTTTTGCTAAATTAAACTCAGAGAGCACTTGATGTTTCATTTTTTTTTCTTTGCTTGCTTCTTTGTTTGCATCTTTAGATTTTTTATTTATCTCTACTCTCCTTGTCAAAACATGAAAAGATTTTTATCCATATCTGATTCCTCTATAGTTTCCTACTCGATTGTGTGCATGCTATTTGTTTTTTTCTCAAATAGTGTATCGTTAGAATTTTTTTCTCAATCTCTTCATCTTTGTGCAAACTATTTGTTTTTTTTGCTCTCAAGAACTCTTTAATGGCTTACTCGATTGTTTGCATGCTTGGGAAACGTGGCTTGTTATATTTTTGTCTAAACTATTTGTTTGCTTTGCAGAATTTGTGCAAGTCTTCTCTCGTTCACACCTAAAGATGAGAGTATGGGAACGTGGCGCTGGTAAGATTTTAATTTAATAGCATACAAAAAAAAAAAAAAAAAAAAAAAAAAAAACTATTAGCTTGCATACTAGCTCTCTTAGAATCAACATCGACATTTTGTGAGGAATTTCATTTTATGTTGATTTTTCCTCATTTTCTGGGTTTTGTTGTTTTGGATTGTGAATCAGTTTATATCTCGAATCTTAGCATTTTCTTTATCACGACCAACTTTTTGTCAAGAGCTCATTTTATTGAAGTTAGATATAATTTTTTTGAAAACGGTGGAATTGTTTACTGAATCACTTTGTTGGAAATATTTAGTGACCAACAATAATTTCAAACTACACAAATTTTATCTATTTCTTTAAAACTTGTTTTTTCTTCGCAAGCAACCAAATGAGCTGAAGACTGACTTTAATAAAGCCCTAAGGTTATATTTGCCAACTTTGCCGTATATGTACCCACTGTAGGAGCAACACTAGCTTGTGGAACTGGAGCTTGTGCAGTTGTAGTTGCAGCAGTTCTTGAGGGGCATGCTGAGAGGGTATGTTTGGTATTAGATGGTCTCATTTGCTTAATTAATTAATTAATTTATGGTGGCCCCGTTTGCATTGCTTCTTATTTAACCGAGCCTATGATTTTCTGACTTAGATCTGCACTGTTGATTTGCCTGGTGGTCCTTTGGAGATTGAATGGAGGGAGGAGGACAACCACGTTTACATGACTGGCCCAGCCGAGAAAGTGTTTTATGGTTCCATTCCTCTTTAGCAGTCCCCACTTTAAGGATGCGGTGTTATCTAAATGTTTTTAGACTAATGGAAGTAAGTTCTTGAAAACTTTTTTAATTTATAGAACTTAAAAGAAGCAATTTGAGAACTGTTCTATCATTTTGTAAGGTTTGTTTAGGGATGAGTTGTTGCTGTTTTGTTCTATAGTTTATACTAAATATCAGTATTTTTTTTTTTGGGAAATAGGCATTAGCTTAAGATTTTTTCCATTATCTTCAAATTGCTGTAACCAATGTTTGAAATTATGCATTTGGATATTGAATTTTTTTATCATTGAGACGAGGTATAATCTTAGAATGAAAATATTAAACTAATAAAACATATGAAGAAGTATCATACTAACATCAAATTTAGGTTATAATTTCATAACAAGTCAAAACAAATTCATCACAATTAATCTCTCCCACATCGTATTCAACATTAACAAGTATTTTAATTCACAATAAGGCATTCAAATGTTTGCACCACTGTCATTATTCAGGGATCCTCATTAGAAGGATCATTATAATGAATTCCTTCTTCTCTCTCACCCTCAGTTGTGTTAACATCCTCCTATTCTTCTTCCTCATCTTCGGTTACAACCATCTTCCTCTTCCCTAATCAGTAAAAATATTAATTAAAATTTAATATAATGATTACGTTGATGGTTACAATTTTAATTATATAAATTTTTTGTTAATATTTTATTTACTTATGATGGGCTTGTTGGTCGTACTCTTTCCTCCTAAGAAGTTAACATTGCAATCTTTCTTTTGTAATTTTGATGTTGTAGCTTCATTGTCATCCTCCTAAGAAGTTAACATTTGCAATCTTTCTTTTGTAATTTTGATGTTGTAGCTTCATTGTCATCCTCCATAAACCATTCTACATTTGACGACACATCATTATAAAATAATAGATCTCGGTCATCCTCTAAGCTTTCTTCTTTAAAAAATTATTTTTTAATCTCTTGTTGTACATAATGTAAACCATTGATTCATATTTATGGTAGTCAAACGATTTCTCTTTTTAGTATGAGCTTAGTTATACATACTTCAATTTTGATCACACCCTGATGACGAGCATTTAATATCCAATGCTATGGTAACAAATCATTATAGTTCTATAGTTTCATCTCTAAATTGAATCCACTATCAAACTAATTTAAAAAAAAAACACAATTATTACGTAATTCAAAATTGGTTTAACTTATCCAATAAATGTTAAAATTCACACGGAGAACATTTCACTATTGTATCTTTGACTACTTGTAATCCAAAAAAATCTTTCCTTATTTCCGAATGCTTCATGTTCAAGACCAACTTTGCCCTCTCAGTTGAGCCATCTATCAATCCATCCATACGATGGTAAAAATCAAAGTTAATCTCTGGATTGGTTGACTTATTCTCGGCATATTGATATTGAGGATCAATATAATATCATATGACATGCAAAAGTTTAATGAAGTTAAAGCTCTAGCTTCTCATCAATTGCATCAATTCTTTCTCAATTTTTCTTGTAGCTAGATTCCTTTCCTCTTATGATTTGTGCTAGCAATTCATTTGCCTCACCCATCACATTATTATAAATTAAACCCCATATCATACTTTTTCATCGTATCAACCATTCTCAAAAAATAAACCAAGAGCTTAGTCGTTGTTATAAATCACACTTAATCAATACCTATCACTCAAAATAATTTTTCTATCTTTCTTTCCGTCCGATTTATTAGCCAATTAGCCAAACATAATTTAACCATTGTGCGGATGTTAAGCCATCCTCCAAAGATTATCTTGCTTCTAAGATAATTTGTAGAGTAAAATATGCCGCAACAAGTAACAACGTAACAAATCTAGTTATTGAGGGTCATAAGAGTTCTTTTTTTATAAACTTTCTCATTAACGCCAAAACTTATTTTTTTCCATTGACTTATTTCTTGCTTCCCTATAATTACTAGCATTGACATGAACAACTTACATCATTTAATGCTCTCCAATCTATTCTATAACTCCATCAATAAATCCAAAAAAGTTACCTGCATTATTTACCTGGTTCTTTTCTTTCACAGACTTAGAAAAATAACGCCGTAGAGATGGTTAATTAAAATATTGATTAAGCTTCTATTTTTAATGTCAAACTGACCATCATATATGATAGTAACTCCAAACTGTGCCCTATTTCTTTATATTTCCTCAATAATTTTCTCTGTGCTGTAAGTTGCTTATTCAATTTTAAGTTCTGAACTCAGACATGGATGAAGTTTTAAAGACTTGGCCACAGGAACCTATAGAATGTATCTTGTTGATATAGGATGCTGAAGTTGGTACATTAAATAGAATAACATTTTCTTTAAGGAATCTTTCTATCTCGACACATACATGCTTGCAAGCCTCTCTTGTATTTTGAGGAGACATTAGATGGGCTACCTTCGGACCATCACCCTTATCATCCTCCATGTTCATCATATATTTTTGTGTTCTTGCATTTCTATTTGACATATGTGGTAGAGAAAGACGACAAATCTTTTTCAGTAGGCTCACTAATATAATTAGATAATCTATCTACATTATTAATTGTCGTTGTTTTGAAGGCTTTGACATGATCTTTCATTCATGTAAGCATAAATATTCTCTTTCACATCTTCATTTTTGCATGGTGCAATATTCTTATGAGAATCATACATATATTCTTTCATTTTTAGTTATGACATTTAATAACTTTAACAAAGTAATTGTATTTCAAATAGTCAAACTACTACTCACTCCCTCCAATTTATACTTGCACATTATGTTTTCATGCTGCATCTTTTTTTTTTCCAATAACTTTTCTCATTACCTTTAGCCATCTTAGAAATCCATAAAATGAAAATTTTAATTAAAAAAAGTTAAAAATGCAAACATTAAAAAAAAAAACTAAACCAAGGAAAAAATTTAGGTTTATACAAGAAAAGTGTATATTTTTATTGTCAAGAAGTTTGGTGGATGAAGAGGAGATATTGTGAAGGAAAAAGGCTTGGCAAGGAGGCGGCGGCGGTGGCATTGCTGCGGAGGTAGCATGTGTTTGAGAAGTTGGTTACAAGCTTTGATGGAGAATGGCATGCATGAGCTTTAATGGGGCCGGTGAGGGACCAAGGGTTTAAAATGTTCGAAGTTCATAGCACCCTAATTTTTGAAGCACACACCTCGACCAAATTATGTGGAGGCATGACTCATCTTTTTGAGCCGTGAGCTTCAGCATAGCTATTACGAGGCATACACTCCATGATGAAACCCTTCAAAAAACGTCGAGGCACACTTCTTATTGTGCAATTTTAAATAATGGTTGTAACTTATTGTGATATTATATCTTATTAAAAAATATTAAAAAAATTATGTGCATGAAACTAAGGTTAATGCGGGATCTAAAGAAGAGTTGATCTGGCTATTTCTATGACTTGGAAATTGTTTCTATACATATAGCCTGTATTGGTTGTGGTGCTTTAGTTTGTTAATTGAAATGAAAAAGGAGTGACGATGAGTGGACAATTGAATAAGCATGCACGAATGTAGTGGCATATGCTTGCATCATAAATAAATCTAAATGGATTTCTTGTGCGGATGCATATGAGCGCATTCTTATCAAATTAGTTGTGGAATCCACCAATATGGGACCTGGAAAATTATTCTGTGATGGTGCCACTTTCTCACCTTTGCATTTGTGTAGGGTAAAAACGCATTGGTTTTGATAGTATAGCACATCTTGATAAACTTAAAAATGAATGGGAAACAAGGAATCTACAGACTGCAAAAACATATCTCGAATTATTTATTTGTAAGATTAGATTATGTCATCATTCCCTGTCAGTAGATTTTCTATTAAAGAGTGTTGGCAAAAGCTTTTTTATGTCCTTACCACCACAGAGCATTACGTTTCCAGCAAATATGAGCAAGTTTTATTGGACATTCTCTTTTATTTATACCAAGTGCAACTTTCCATGACTTAAAGGGGGAATACTTTATTATTGTAGAATTTTGTTATAATTTGTTGTTATAGTTTATATCAACTTTTTGTTGCTTGTTAAATGGGTTTTTTAAATTATTAAAGTCGCAAACCAATTGATTATTTATGCCTTCTGAAATTCTTCATAAGCTTGGTGAATTGAGGTGGATTGATCTTATGCCAACCGACACCTAGTCAACAAAAGCTAATCCTAGTAGTTGAAATTTGAATACTTGATGTTGTAGTAAATGATTATTTGATTATATTTTTGTAGTTGTACTAAACATTTTACATTATAAGCTAGACAAGTTATCATGTCATTCGTTTATTATTGTTTGTCATTTTTAATATGATATTATGTTAATATATATATACTATATAAAAAATGTAATGACATGTCCGCGCCATACCCGTGTCTTATATTTTCAAAAAAAAAAAAGCCGTGTTCGTGTCCATGCATCATAGGGTTGGAGCAGCTCCAGTGGCAAATTAGATTTTAGGGAGAGTCGCCTTAGATGATTTGGTAACATAAAACGATGGCTAGACTAGATATTTATTCATCAATCGTCGTCATCATCATTACCATCTTCATCCCTTATGGGATAATCCTCCTCCAACTTCATCTTCTTCATCAAATAGTGCCCTAGGTTTAGCTTAAATAGACGCCCATTCCATTTTCGCTCATCTTGGAAGAATCTGAATATCATCTCTCTTTTTATAAGCATTAAGCACCATTAGTGCTACCCTCATTCTCCTCTCCCTCACCTATCTAGATCTTTAACAAACAACAATTCATCATCTTTATTACCCTAATCATCCAATTATTACTCAACAATTCAATGGCATCACAGTGTCATTAGAGAAACTAATTCAATTATATCGTGTGATTGTATCACCAAATTAAAGCGCAATAATTTATCTGGGTTTTGCTTGGGGATAGGATTGGGTGCTGCACGTGACTTGGAATGAGAAAGCAAAGGTGTTCTATAATTGCACTTTAATGTTTATTTAGGCTTCATTTGAGAGACAGCTTTTTTACTACTTCTTAAAACAACTTTCTAGTAAAAAATTTAAATTTTTATACTAAGAAACTACTTTAAGAAGCAGTAAAAAAGCTGCCCCAAATGAAACCTTAGTCTCATTTATGTTTTATGCTTTGTTAGGGCTTTTGAATCACATTTTATATTTAGTTGCTCACCATTTGGATTAGTTGTGGTTCAATTATTGAGTAATTGAGAGTTTTTAGTCACTATTA